GTACTTTAGTTCACAGATCCACACATTAGTTTGTTAACTCAGAGAAAAGCATAGAACCCCAACCCCAGGTGATACGGTAATTATCCTAAGTCACGGACAAAATATGGCTTAGTAATATCCATATAGTCAACCACGTGTTAACCCCTCATGAAAATTTCTGTATTTTTAATTCATGCCGTGATTTTGTGTAGTCTGGTCCGTCTAGACAATTATAACCTAAGTATGAGACTGTCTTAAAATAACAGCTTGTCTTTTATAAATTGGTATGCCTTTGTAACTCATAGTATTATCGGACCTACAGTTAGGTTTTTATTTCCATCATGCCCAAGTTTGCAGAGAGAAACCATTTATAAAAAGTTTTTATATTTTTTTAAATGATCGAAATTTTATTCTATATTTTCTAGAAAAACTAGAATTATGCTAAAAATAAAGTGTGCAAAATCGCCTCACATGTGAAATGAAGCAACACATCTAAATCTCCCAGATAGGAGTTAAAGAAGAAATAGGCAACTGTTGACTCACATGGAAGTCGGATCCACTGGCGGAGCAGCCGGGGCGAGCTGTCTATTGGGCTGTCGGGCGGTCGGGCCCTCAGGGCGGCTGGCGGGTCCCCAGAAGGGGCAATGGGCGTGAGGGCGCCGGAGTAGCCCCTGCAGCGCTTGGCTGAGGGTGGCAGCAGCGGCAGGCGCTGGGAAGCCTGTGAGGGCCACTGTCCCATGGACCGGGCCTCCCGTGCCAAGGGCCCCCAGGGCCACCTGCCTGTCCCCGCTGGGAGTGGCCACGGATCCCCTGCTGGGGCGCGGTGTGCTGGACCACCTCCTCTTGGGCTTACAGGCGGTTGCTTCAGCCTTTCTGGCCTGACAGGCAAGTTGGGCAGGACCTGCAGCCGGGCTGGGGCGGGCGACTCTCTGGACTTGTGTGAGGCGCGGGCTATGGCCGCCGTCTGTGGCTGTGATGAGGTGTGAGGCCCGTCAGCTAGAGCCACGCCCTCCGGAGAAGTCCAAAGTGAGCCCTGTGCTGCGCAGGCTGGCGGGAAAACGGCGGGAACACGGCGTACCTGGTCTTCCCGCAGAGGGGGCAGCCACTGGGAAGCCTGTGAGGGCCGCTGCCCCAAGTACCAGGCCTCCCGTGCCAAGGGCCTCCGGAGGCATCCACCTGTCCCCACTGGGAATGGCCACGTATCCCCTGCTCGGGCACGGTGTGCTCGACCACCTCTGCTTGGGCTTCCCGGCGGCCGCTTCAGCCTCTTTGGCCTGAGAGGCAAGTCGGGCAGGACCTGCAGCCGGGGTGGGACGGAGGACGCTCTGGACGTGTGTGAGGCGCCGGCTATGGCCGCTCTCTGTGGCTGCGATGAGGTGAGGTGTGAGGCGCGTCAGCCAAAGCCACGCCCTCCAGAGAAGTCCAGAAGGTGAGCCCGGCGCTGGCTGTCGAGAAGGCGGCAGCGCGGCCTGGTCTTCCCGCGGAGGGGGCAGGAGCAGGGACGTCTCTGAGGGCCACTGCGCCAAGTACCGGGCCTCCTGTGCCAAGGGCCCCCAGGGCCATCTGCCTGTCCCCGCTGGGAGTGGCCACGTATTCCTTGCTGGGGCACGGCATGCTTGACCACCTCTGCTTGGGCTTCCCGGCGGCTGCTTCAGCCTCTTTGGCCTGAGAGGCAAGTCGGGCAGGACCTGCAGCCGGGGTGGGACGGGGGACACTTTGGACTTGTGTGAGGCGCGGGCTGTGGCCACTGTCTGTGGCTGTGGTGAGGTGTGAGGCACGTCAGCCAGAGCCACGCCCTCCAGAGAAGTCCAGAGGGTGAGCCCGGCGTTGCGCGGGCTGTCGGGAACACACGGGCTGTGGGGAACACACGGGCTGTCGGGAACACACGGGCTGTGGGGAACACACGGGCTGTGGGGAACACACGGGCTGTCGGGAACACACGGGCTGTGGGGAACACATGGGCTGTCGGGAACGCGCGGGCTGTCGGGAACGCGCGGGCTGTGGGGAACACACGGGCTGTCGGGAACGCGCGGGCTGTCGGGAATGAGGCCCTGCCTGGCTTCCCGCAGAGGGGGCAGGAGCAGGGACCTCTGTGAGGCCATCGTGGACATCCGCGTGAACCCGCCGGAGGTGGCCGTGGTGGCCGTGTTTAACCTGCTGGGACTCAGCTCTCCTCTTCCATTTCCCGACAGCAGCTTCAGCCCGTTCCACTGGGGCGGCGAGACGAGTGGGCCTCAAGGCGGCAGCCGGGGTTGACCAAAAAAAGTTTTTCGGTTGGGTTCCTCCTGTTTAATTCACTGCCACCCCAGTGCAGAAAATAAGTTTCTGTTTTGTAGAGCCTTGTACTTCGACAGTGCCTTCAAAAAAACCCAAAAATCTCTTAAACCTACTATTGTTTCTTACTTAT